ATATATATATATAGGTCTTAAAAATGATCACAGGAAAAAGGTAAAGATAGAAAATAGAAATAATGGTACCAAGTGACAGCTTAATCTTTAAAGAGCTCTAACACTATGTATATATATACTTAAGCAAAGGACCACATCCAGGTACAATTTTTACCCCTTTCTGTGCCTCTCGACTCCAGCGTGTCAGGCCAGGGCCGGTCTCTCAATTCCTAGGAAAGACGAATACGAGGTGGGCGTCCCCTTGGAACCTCGGGAGATCAAACACCTAACCCGACCAGCAGATAGATGGTAGATTGACACTCAGAGAAAATGTGCTGCTGGACCCATCTTTATACCCCTGGGGGCCCGTATCCTCTTTCTTATCTAAGAGGCTAAATTCTACTGGTCCGTTTTGTGGCGCCAGTTCTTACAAGCAAGTTTCAAGTTAATTTACACTTGCAAGAGAGATAACTAAATTGTGAGTACTAGAAATTTTTTTACTGGGTGAGAGATTCCTCCCCCCGCGGACGGATGTGTGTTCGTATCAATATGGGTTTGAGTCAAGGGCACTCCTTGGCAGCCTCTTGGTCAGCAATTGGCGTATCTCTGTTTACAGCCATTCACGGTCACAGCAGCCTGGGCCTTCTGCTCTGTGTGCCCTGTATGCTCCAGGCAAGCAAAAATGGATGTTACAAAGAAGGGTTCCTGTCTGGCTACAAGCTGACCCCAGGTTCTGGGGAAATACTGCACAGAACCTGGGGTCAGCTGGGCAGTCCCTAGATGACCCAGGGCTCCACGGCGCTTCGGCATTTCAAAGGGGCAGCACTGCATAGCTTAGCCATGGATCAGCTGTGTGGCGGCTGTCCCTCTGAAACGCCGCCTTGGTATTTCAAAGCAGCAGCGCTGCACAGCTGATCCCTGGCTCAGCTGTGTGGTCGTGCTGCTTTGAATTACCCCTCTTCCCCCCCGCCCTTCGCTGCCTCTATCTCATAGAGGCAGCAAGGTGGGGGGATTCAACTAATTGACTAGTCAACAGACTATCTGATAAATAAATGCTTATCGGATAGTTGACTAGTTGATTAGTGCTTAGCATCCCTAATACAAGCTCAATACGATAACTGGAATTAATCTTAATATGTTGGCAACAATTAATCTCAAGTTACAGTTTTATTTTAATTTGTAATTAGAATAAGGAAGTGAGAGGAGTCGTTTAGAAAAGCTGTCTTACATTTTTAGTAGTGGTAAAATAGTTTGTTGGGGAGATCTACTGAAAAGATCATTGAGAAAGATAAGTTACAAAACACTTGTTTTTTCATCAAAATATCAAGTTTATCTGATAAAGGTAGCCGTATTAATGTAGTATGTTTTGACTGCTGAAAGACACTTGACTTGTTACCTCATCACATTTTGATTGAAAAGCCTAGAACAATAGAGCACATGGTACACATTAAATAGATTAATAGGCTGGCTAAATGATGGGCCTGAAAATATATTTGTAAAAATAAAATAAACATTGAATGGGTAAGTTTTTGATGGCATTCCCCAGGAATCAGTTCTTGGCCTATGCTGTTGAACATTTTTATTAATGATGTGGAAGAAAACAAAGTCATCACTGATAAAGTGTGCAAAGGACAGAAAAATTAGGGAGTCACTGGTCAATAATGAGGAGGATAGGTCCCTGATACAGGGCGATCTACATAGGTACAGGAGGTGGAAGAATGGAGGAGTGTTTTGGATCCTCACCCCCTGCTGCTTTGGGTCCTGGTCACCAGGCCTGCTACTGACTGGTAGCTCCACTGCCAGCCGTATGTTCTATTCGACCACTGGCCTCATGTCCGGGTGGTATGGGCTCCCAGGGACTCTGTTGCTGGGTCTTGCCTAGCCACTGCCTCCACATGGGGTCTTAATATCTGCCATCAGCTCTAGCGGGCAATGAGAGGTTAGGAGGGGATGCAGCTCAGCACCCACACTCCAAAAGATGTTCTAGAGCCGCTGGAGATCTGGATCTCCTGATAAGTTATGCTCAAGCAAACAATGTGTGTCTTTAATATGGCTAATGTAAAGGTAAACAGCTAGGAATACAAATGTAGGCCATACTTATAAGCTGGGGGATCCTGTCCTGAGAAGCAGAGACTCTGAAGAAGATTTGGAAGGAGTAGGAGAAAGTTCAGCTGAACATGACCTTGGACCTCTCTGATCTGGCCCCTTGGGACCTGACTGGTCCCAAATTAGGTAATTTGCTGGATCAGGGAGGTCCCCTAACACCACCTTTCTAGGATTCTGCCCCTCCCTCCTGTTGGCTCCACTCCAGCCCTGCTGCTGCAGGGCTTAGGGCATGGCTCTGGCCCACTTCTACCAGCTGACTGGGGCTCTCTGGGGATGGAGCTCCCCAGCTGCCATGGCCTGCTCCTGTCTTGACTGGCTGGGCTTCCTGGGGAGTGGGCTTCGCAGCTGCCCCATTGGGTCAGAGCTCCATGTCTGCCAGGCTGCTGCTGCACCCAGCCAGGGCATTCCATGGATGGGGCTCCGTGGCTGCCCCACTGTGCCACACCCAGCTGGGACTCCCTGGGATGGGGCTTGCCTGTCCTGATGGTGGGGCTCTGCTGCCGCTGGACTCCCGATGAGCTCGCACTCCCAAGTGCTGAGGTGCTCTGGTCCAGCAACATCTGTGATCATGCCAGACAACGGATGTTGCCGTACCAGAGAATCCTCGATTGAGGAGGTTCAACCTGTACTGTAGCCAAAAGAGGTAACACAATGCTTGGATCATAAACGGGATACTAGGTTAAGAGTAGAGAGTTTATTTTGCCTATGTATTTGGTCCTGATGTGACTGCTTCTGGAATACTGTGCCCAGATCTGGTGTCCACAGTTCAAGAAAGATATAAATTAGAGAAGATTCAGAGCCACAAGAATGATGAAGGGATGAGAAAACCCGTCTTCACAGTGATTGAACAGTTTGAATCTGTCTGCATGAGGAACAAATATTTGATAATAGGCTTTTTGGTCTAGCAGAGAAAGGTATAAAACAATCAGATTACTGGAAGTATAAGATAGACAATTTCAGGCTGGAAATAAGGTAAATGTTTAGCAGTGTGGGTAACTAGCCAGTGGAACAACTTACCAAGGGTTGTGCTGGATTCTCTGTCATGAAAAGTGTTAAAATCAAGAGGGGATTTTTTTTTCTAAAAAGATAAATTCAATTCATTAATTTTGGGAAGTTGTATGGCCTGTGTCATATAGGGAGGTCAAACTAGATGATCACAGTGGTTCCTTCTGTACTTGGAAACTACGTATGGATGAATTTAAAATATGTTCGTTCAGTAATACTACTAACCAGTTACCTTACTGTGTTTCTCACGGTTCTTTGTATCTTAGATGAGCTACAGCTGAGGAATTATTTTGGATTTTCTTAGTCAAAGCAAATAAGAAATCAGAGAAAGCAAAATAAAGATGGTTGGCTTGTAGTATTTACAATCTTTTAACAGAACAACTCAACATGGAATGTTACACTTCATCCAGAGAAAATCAAAACCAATGAATTCAAGGTTTTTTAATGCCCTTGTAACAAAGGCATACTTTATCCTAATTCCATATTACTCAGAGCAAATTACTTTGGTACGAGCATAGAGCTATGGATCCTTATGCACCAATTAAGTTATGTGCCAATTAAATTATGAAACTGCCTATGGCAGTTCAACTAAACAACTCTGTAAAGTTAGAACTGAGAAATTTAAATAAGCTACAGATTGCACCTTTATAAACTAGAGCTCTCTGGTTCAACAACATCTGTGATCCAGGAGGGCCACAGACATTCCAGGATCAGAGTGCCATGTGGGGGAGGAAGGACAGCGCACGGCCCAGCTGGGCTGCGGTGTGTGTGTGTGTGTGTGTGTGTGTAAAACCACATGTGCAGCTCAGTTGGGCAGCATGTGCGTGTGTGTGGGGGGAAGCCCTGCATATGATCCAATGGGGCTGCCTGGACAGCAACAGGGGAGCCAGAAATTACCTCCTCTGGTTGGGCAAAATCTGTCATCTGGGACCAATCAGGTCCTGAGTGTGCTGGACCAGGGAAGTCTAACCTGTACTTAATTACTCACCTGGTCAATTCAGTTCAGAATTATCTTGCCCAGGAGATACTCATATCCAAGCTTTTCCACATATTTAGGTTTAGCGTATATAGAATATGTTTAGGTAATTTTAAAACATTCAGATTTTGCTGGAATTTCACCGGTACCATAGACTCTCATGCCACTTCCATACATTTATATAGTGTGTGTGGACATAGTTTAGCATTCTTGTTGTTGTTGTTGTTGTTGCTTCTCACTTTGTGTGCCGTCCCCTGACCTACCCCATTTATGCAGGACTGAGAAGTCAACCTGCAAAAATATCCTGTTGCTGCCACCTTGTGGGGATTAGTTATTGTAGTTAAAAAGATGAATAGTTCTGTGGATCGAAAGAATACAAGATCAAAAAGGAATATTTTGCATTCTTCAGTTTTTGGGAACTCTCACGTGGTATTAAGAAATTGTTCAGTACTTGACTTTTTCTGCTGTCTTTCTTTGAACACCAGCATTAGGCTGGATACAGTTTGGTCCTGAATAATGTGATTAAGTCATCTTCTGATATACCTTTATTTGTATTTTAGTGTCAATAATGCATTCAGTGCTGTAGAAGACACAGGTAAAGGTAGACTCTGATTCAGAGCCCATTGATTTAATTGGAGCTGGATCATGGCCATTAGGAGTTTACAATTTAGAATACTTATTAGGAAAAGTGATTCATCTCCATTTTACTAGGAATTTAAAAATGTTACAATTGAAGCTTGGAGGGAGGAATGCAAAGTGGACAGATTCTCTGTAGGAAAAAAAGAAGTAGTAAATAGAAGAAAAAGAAGAGACTTAAATATTTTAACAGTTTCATGTTTTGTAAGTCTGTGGGTTTGTTATTTGCTATTTTATATACACAATTCCAGTTTCTAAAAGACATTTTAAATATATTTTCCCCTTCATAAATTCACAGAGTTTGGAAATCCCGACTCTTCAGCAACTTTCTTTCACTGTCAGACCAGGAGAATTATTGGCTGTGATTGGTCCTGTGGGAGCTGGGAAAGTAAGTCCTAATGTGTTTCTCTGTTTTGCATTGTTTTCCTGCAGTTTTGTTGGACATATGCATTCAAGTTTTATGAATTTCTTGTATTATATAATACATTTAGATGTGCATGCTGGACTACAGAATAGTTAGGAAAATGACACTTATTGTTAAGCACATGGTTTAAAATTAAGCCCCCCACATGCTTCCTTTTCAGTATGAATATGAAAGTTACTAGTACATGGGTATCTGTTTGGTTAAAGAGTGAAAGAACATATTTCAGAATGTGTTAGTTTTAGAATTCTTCTAACTTTCGTCCCATTGCTTCACCATTTACGGGATGAAGCTTTTCCAGGTGGGAGGAATAGCTCAGTGGTTTGAGCATTGGCTTGTTAAACCCAGGGTTGTGAACTCAATCCTTGGTGGGGGGGGGGCATTTAGGAATCTGGGGCAAATCTGTCAGGGATAGTACTTGCTCCTGCCATGAGGGCAAGGGACTGGACTTGATCACCTTTCAAGGTCCTTTCCAGTTCTATGAGATAGGTATTTCTCCATATATAATGCAATGTATTTTAAAAATGATATATCCAACTACAGTAAAGGATGACATTTTCTGAGGTACCCACGTGACTTTAGTTAGGAGACTTTGAGACTTACATCTCATTGATTTGCAACCAGACTGAAGTTCTGCAGTCACTCAAGTGCTTTAGAACAGTTTATCCAAACATTTTAATACATTAAAATTAAATATATATATAACTCTGTATGAGGGCATGTATCATTTTTTCCCCTGAGCTTTAACAACTTTTTTAAACTCTCACTAAACAATAACCTCTCTTGCAGTCATCTCTCTTAAGTGCTGTACTTGGTGAACTACCTAGAGACAAAGGTTTGATGGATGTTAGAGGAAGAATAGCTTATGTTTCTCAGCAGCCCTGGATTTTTCCTGGTACTGTAAGAAGTAATATACTATTTGGCAGAGAATATGAGACAGAAAAGTATGAAAAAGTTCTTAAAGTTTGTGCTCTTAAAAAAGTAAGTGATTTTCTTTTGAATGTTGATTCTGTTTTAGCTACAGTCATGTATGTTTTTCATTTTAATGTAATTGTAATGATAGTTTAATGTTTGTTGTGATATGTAATCTACAGAATTAGTTACTAATTTACTTGTGAGAGAGATTAATCCTATAATTTAATACCAAAGGGCTATGTCTATGCTACAAGGTTTTTGCCCAAAAAGAGCGGTGTGTCCATACCTCAAGTGCATTTTTGTGCAAGAAAATCTACAGTCACTCGACAGAACAGAGGGCTTTTGCTGGTAGAGTTATTCCTCTCCCCATGAGGAATAACTCCACTTGCAAAAAGGCAAGTGTGGGTGCTCCGCAGGCATTTTTGTGCAAGAAACCTCAATTGGAAAAAGCACAGGTGAATGGCCTGTGAATAACCATCAGAGCTTTCTTGCGCAAGAGTGTCCGTGCAGTGTGGACACTCTCTTGTGCAAAAGCACATTGCTTTTGCGATGGGCTTTGAGAGCTGGACGTGCTTTTATGCAAGAAGTTTTTGCGCAAGAACTCTTTTACAAAAGGCTTCTTGTGCAAAAACCCTGCAGTGTAGACAAAGCCTAGAAGTTGTTTTGCAAGATCTGGGTGTGAGCGCAAATTCCTGTAATTCATAATAAAGTCACTAGAGGGAGATTAATTTTCTGAGAAGATAAGACACATTTGACAGGAAAAAGCTAGTTCCAAATATTTTGTTTCATAATGACTTTTAGCCATGTTAATTGTTTTTATAGTAGATACAGTTGTTTAGATGAACTACCTGCTTAAATGAGCTAACAATGTAGATATACAAACATTCATAAAATGGGCAAGTGACATCAGTTGTTTTGCAAATAACTTTTAAAAAATGCTATGCTCCCTTTAAGAAATACAATGTGCATATTGCAAAATTATATTCCTAGCTGCTTACCACTACAGACTGTAGAACCTGCTGTGACCCTGTAGCCTTGTGGAACAATTTTTTGAAAGGTGTTTTTGATGTGTGATATAGAAGAGGGTGATTATAAGCCTACTTTTCAAGAAATACACATTTTGCTTCATAGCTAAAAGGGTATTATGCTGCATATCCTGCAGCATGTTATAATATTCCTGTCAGTAGTGATTCAGGTGAAAAGTAGACTGCTACTGTGATGTAAATTTTTTTTTACAAGGTTGTTTTTACACACTGTCGATAGAACTACTTTAATCTCTCCTGCTGTTATAGTTAATTATTGTCTAAAATTCCAAGTGTTACTAAGTTTATACAGAACACAGACTGCATTTCTTATAAACCAATATTTTAAAATTCCTGAAGCTTAAAGCTGACTTTCTTTTTTCTTATGTCATATCTGCTTTTTTAGAGTTTTTCCTCAGCTTTATGGATGGTTAAAGTGCAGTGAACTTACCGTATTTTCCGGCGTATAGGGCGACTGGGTGTATAAGACGACCCCCTATCTTTTTAATTAAAAGATAGGGTTTCATCTTATACCCCAGCGCCCCTCCGCCTCCTTTGCTTCCGGTGTCCCTGGTCTGCTGGAGATGGTCCCCAGCAGACCAGAGGCACCGGGAGCAAAGCCGCCAGGAGCGCCTGGGATGCCCCGCCGCCGGCTTCCTCCGAGGCTTTCAAAGCCGCGGAGGGGCTCCGGCGGCGGGGCATCCGGCGTACAAGACGACCTCTGATGTTAAAAAACATCCCCCCAAAATCGGGGGTCGTCTTGTACGCCGGATGCCCCGCCGCCGGCTTCCTCCGAGGCTTTCAAAGCCGCGGAGGGGCTCCGGCGGCGGGGCATCCGGCGTACAAGACGACCTCTGATGTTAAAAAACATCCCCCCAAAATCGGGGGTCGTCTTGTACGCCGGATGCCCCGCCGCCGGCTTCCTCCGAGGCTTTCAAAGCCGCGGAGGGGCTCCGGCGGCGGGGCATCCGGCGTACAAGACGACCTCTGATGTTAAAAAACATCCCCCCAAAATCGGGGGTCGTCTTGTACGCCGGATGCCCCGCCGCCGGCTTCCTCCGAGGCTTTCAAAGCCGCGGAGGGGCTCCGGCGGCGGGGCATCCGGCGTACAAGACGACCTCTGATGTTAAAAAACATCCCCCCAAAATCGGGGGTCGTCTTGTACGCCGGATGCCCCGCCGCCGGCTTCCTCCGAGGCTTTCAAAGCCGCGGAGGGGCTCCGGCGGCGGGGCATCCGGCGTACAAGACGACCTCTGATGTTAAAAAACATCCCCCCAAAATCGGGGGTCGTCTTGTACGCCGGATGCCCCGCCGCCGGCTTCCTCCGAGGCTTTCAAAGCCGCGGAGGGGCTCCGGCGGCGGGGCATCCGGCGTACAAGACGACCTCTGATGTTAAAAAACATCCCCCCAAAATCGGGGGTCGTCTTGTACGCCGGATGCCCCGCCGCCGGCTTCCTCCGAGGCTTTCAAAGCCGCGGAGGGGCTCCGGCGGCGGGGCATCCGGCGTACAAGACGACCTCTGATGTTAAAAAACATCCCCCCAAAATCGGGGGTCGTCTTGTACGCCGGATGCCCCGCCGCCGGCTTCCTCCGAGGCTTTCAAAGCCGCGGAGGGGCTCCGGCGGCGGGGCATCCGGCGTACAAGACGACCTCTGATGTTAAAAAACATCCCCCCAAAATCGGGGGTCGTCTTGTACGCCGGAATATACGGTATTGAACATGTTGTATGGCTTGGAGGCCAGTCCTAATGAATTGTTCAAATATCTTATCTTGTGTATCTGATACCTTCTTTTTAGTAAAGCAGTGAAAGAATATAGCTTCAGTACCTTGTCAAAGTAACTACTAAATCTTCTAAAGTAAAAATATCTTGGTAAAGTAACTACTAAATACTTCAGACAAGTAATTTTAATTCAGATGTAGGAGATACTCCTTTTGTAAGAATGTTTACCACTGTATGTTCTCTATATTCATAGGACATGGAAATATTAGAAGACGGAGACCTAACTATGATAGGAGATCGTGGAGCTACACTGAGTGGTGGACAGAAAGCCCGTGTAAATCTTGCTAGGTAAAAATGGCCGTTTCTTGTAATATTTGTTGGTCTGGGTGTACCTACCATAAACACTAGTGACTAATATAAGCAAGTTAACTATAATAATGTATTTGGCACTGACCTAACATTTCTTTAAATGTTGTAGAGCAGTGTATCAAGATGCCGACATATACCTCTTGGATGATCCCCTGAGTGCAGTAGATGCAGAAGTTAGCAGACACTTGTTTGAAAAGTAGGTTACTATTTTGTTTTTCTTTGCATTCTAATTTAGATTTACTGAGTCCAAATGGAAAATGTCTTTTTAGAGACAATTCTGCCTCTGTAGTTTATATCATCATTTGTTTCCTGAGCTCATTTTTAAGGTAGTTGTAAGGAAGCAGTTAATCTGTTCATGCTATTTCATTCCTCACTTGAATTTATACTCTGTTTTGAGGCCATAATATAGAGACCTTTATGTTTTTTAAGGAAAAAAACATTTTCTTGGAGAAAAATGGAAAATTACATAGGGCAATATTACATTTAATAAGCAAGTTTTAATCCCAAACAGTTTATAATGTTTCAGTCTATACTTGAAGAAATAAACAAAGAATTTCCATTCATTTTTAGCTCATTAGAGCTTTGTGTTGTGAACCGTAACTGTTCGTTCTAAGTGGTTAGGAATATCTTTCCTTCTTTTCCTCTTCACTCATTCTCAATAATTTAACTATCTCAGGCAGATGAAATAAAAAGTCATGTCCTATTGACTAGACATTGGAGAACAGTGTGAGGAGAAAAAAAATTTCCCTTAGGGTGCGTCTATACTGGATCGTTATTTCGAGATAACTAGCGTTATTTGAAATAACAATGTGAGCATCTACACAGCCATTCCGTTATTTCAAAATAAATTCGAAATAACAAAATCTGTAAATCTCATTCTACAAGGTATAACGCCTATTCCAAAATCGCTATTTTGAAATAAGGCATGTGTAGATGCCCCACTTCTGCTATTTCGAAATAGCTCCTCACCAGGGCCATTGCTCCCTAGTTCCTCCTGGGGCTCATCTACATTAGAAACCTGCCTTGGACTAATTTGGAGACTTCCCTGCAGTGTAGACATGCTATTTCAAAATAAGCTATTTTGGAATAACTATTCCGTCATAGCTTATTTTGAAATAAATGTGCAGTGTAGCCGTACCCTGAGAAGAAAGGGTAATCTAGCTCTTCCCTCATCCCCAAGGAAAATAGAACTGTTCTTTGTGGGAATCCAGTTATCTTTCTCATACATATTACTGTGGATTTTTTCTTTTCTCTCATTTCCTCTTTCAGAAGTGTGCTCTACAAGCCCAGATAGGTAACTCAGGAACAGTGGAGTAGGCCAACGTATAGGGCCTTACCAAATTCATGGTCCATTTTGGTAAATTTCACAGATATAGGATTATAAAAATGGTAAATTTCTATGATTTCAGCTATTTAAATCTGAAATTTCATGGTGTTGTAATTGTATGGGTCTTGACCCAAAAAGGAGTTGGATAGGGGGTTGCAAGGTTATTGTATGGGGGTAATGGTACTGCTACCCTTACTTCTGCACAGCTTCGGGCAGCAGAATTGCCTTCAGAGCTGGGCAAATGGAGAGAAGTAGCTGCTGGCCAGGAATCCAGCTCTGAAGGAAGAACCACCATGAGCAGTAGCACAGAAATAGCATGGTAGAGTATTGCCACCCTTCTGCATCGCTGCCTGCAGAGCTGAGCCTTCATTCAGCAGCCGCCACTCTTTAGCTCTGAAGGAAGGGCAACATAGGTATGGCATTGCCATCCTTACTTTTGTGCTGCTGCTGGCAGGGTGCTGCCTAAGCTGGGCGCTAGCCAACATTACAGCCTCCAGCTACTTCAGCGATACCTTCAGAATTGGGCAAGAGTGGCAATACTTGTGATTCCCCCTTTCAACTCCCTGTAGGGTAAGGAGCCCCAGTTAGAAAAACGCTGATCTCCCCCATACAGTGTATATGGTGTATGGTAATAAGCACACAGAAGGCCAAAATTCACAGGAGAACACCAGATTTCATGGTCTATGGCATGTTTTGCCTGGCTGTGAATTTAGTAGGGCTCTACCACTGAACCTGGTGTGCACCTGTCTCTGTTGACAAGTCTAATCCAAGGCCCATTGCAAGTCAAAAGAAAGATTTCCATTAACCTCAGTGGGCTTTGGGTGAGGCCTTAAACAAGATTGTTTTCTTGATCATATCTACATTTGTCATGATTTTCAATCTTGCACATACTTCCATAGGCATGCAGAAAAGTAACCCTGAGGGTAGTTAATTATACATCTGAATACCTATTAGTGAGGTGGTGAATGTGGGAAGGGGGACCTGACCCCTGCTGCCAGCTATAGCCTGCCCAGGGCTACCCTGAATATGGGGAACCATCCTGTCCATTGGAGGGTGGGGGTGCCACTTGCCTGCAAAGCGTGGGGCAGCCAGGCTGAACTGTCCGATGGATGGGATGGCTCAGCACACACCATGCCTGGGCTAGCAGTGACACAGAGCTCTCATCCAGAAACTACTCTAGCCTTGCTGTGCTGCCTGTGGTGGCTCTGGATGCCCCCAGAGGGGCAGTTAAATTGCTTGGGTGTGGCAGCCAGGGCCAGAGGACATGTGTGTGCGAGGGGTCAGAATGTGCATAATTATAAGTTTCCTTAGCAATCTTTTTCTCTAGAATCAGAAATTTTCATTCACAATTTGGTTTATATACAGAAGAGATTCTCGTAGTGTGCAGTTGTTCAGCGTATTAGAGATATGCCAAGTTAACATAATTTTGACAGATGCCTTATTTTGGGTGTCTGCTTGTCCTGAGGTTGTGTTTTTCTTCTTTGAAGACAAAGTAATTAATCTATCTGGGTTTATATCTATTTCTGAATGTACAAAAATGTTTTAGAACATTAATGTGCTTTCAATTTCTTTCCTTGTGTTTGCAGGTGTATATATCAGGCTTTGCACCGAAAAGTCTGTATTTTAGTGACGCATCAGTTGCAGTACCTCCATGCTGTAAACCAAATTTTGATTTTAAAAGAGGTATGTGATATCACAGACTAGTTTTTTAAAAATTGGCTGTTGCTGTTACTCGTCAATATGCAGATGAAAAGGTGAAGAGTTAGGAAAAAGTGATTTTCTATAAAATACAATTATAGTTTATTAATGTATTTTATGTCTCTTAAAGACATTTGTTAAGTATATCAAGTTATTAACAGAATTTTCTTACAATACTTTGCCTGAAAAATATGAACTGGCACATTTTCATGTTGTATATTCAGCTTGTAGGGAAGTGATTTTTATTCCACATTAAAACTTGGTATATTGTTAAGATTAATAAATAGGTTGGGTGAGGGGGAGGAACAGGAGAAGTTGTCTTTATTAGACTCGCCACTGCAGTTCTTTTTATTAAAGGCCGAGAAAAGCCCATATGTTGGGAGAAGGAGGACCTTTTAGACCTTTTCTATACTTCATAAAGTTGCAAAAAAGGCTACATCACCCATCTTTTTCCTAGGCAGAGCACCTTGAATATGCAGTACTCTCTGGCATAGGGTACGGCTAGACTGTGATGTTTTTTCAGGATATCTGAAAAACTCTGCCGTCCAGGAGAGCAAATGCGCTCTTTCAGAAGCCCCTGTATTCTTTGTCGTATGAGAAAGAAGGGGGCTTTCGAAAGAGGGTTTTTTCCCAACATTTGGCCCACTCTAGACGGGCCCAATAACAGAAAAGCCTCTTCCAGCAAAAGTATTGGAAAAAGCTACGCAAAATGCGGAGCGCAGTTTGCGTAGCTTTTTCCAACAAACAGATATAGTCTAGACGTACCTGTAGGTGCAAAAGATTGGATTGCCTTGGGGTTTTTAGTTTGGAACACATGGGATGAAATTCTGTGTGGCTCTTCTAAGAACCCTCTGGGGAGCAAAGAGCTAAGGTAGCTTTCACACAATTCTGGGTAGCTCCATAGCTCCTGCCATATCGCCTATGCTGGGGGACATATTCTGAATCCTGCCTCTACAGCTGCAAGGCTACCTTCTGTAGGATCTTCTGAAGGAATCCTCCTCCATCTAGAACTGGGTCCCTTTATGCCACTCTGGCCCACTGACCTGGTATTAAAGTGCTGCTTTTGGGGAGGTAAGAATCTAGCCTGTAATGCCTTAGAAAAAAGAATAATTAAAATAATTTAACCTTTCGGTGTTATAAGGCGAGCGTTTCTAAGAACTCCTCTCTCGATCTTTTATTTACATGTGTCAAAAACCATAGGGCTCTAGTAATAAAGATATGTATGCAACAGATTGTTAAATTTGCCGTCTACAGAATTTGAACACCGAATGTGAACAAAATTTAACAAAATATTTTTTTATAGGGTAAAATGGTGGGGAAAGGGACTTATTCCGAGTTTCTATACTCCGGAATCGATTTTGCTTCCCTTTTGAAAAATAATGAAGAGGATGAACTGTCACCAATTCCTGGAACCCCCATGATGAAGTTAGCAAGGAACCGTACCTTTTCACAGTCATCTGTCTGGTCACAAGATTCCTCAGTGCATTCACAGAAAGATGGTGCAACAGAACAGCCACCTGTGAGTATATAAAATATGAATTAATCAACATGGTACTTGTTAATTTTGTTCACATTATGATATTCTTAGGTTTGTCCTGCCGTGTTTTTTATATCAGTGATTAAATTGGATGCAAGTAGGAAGGGTCGCTCACCAATTTGATAGCTGTTATCCTGAGTCTTGACATTATGTGGTGATTTTTGGGTGTGTGTTGTGTCATGTCTGTGAAGGTAGGACAAGTAGTAATGGATTTAATATGCATCAAGGGAGATGAAGATATTAGAAAGGTTTTTCTAATTGTAAGGGTAGTTAAGCTCTGGAATAGGCTTCCAGAGGAGGCTGTGAAGTCTCCATTCCTGGAAGCTTTTAAAAACTTGGACAAACACCTGTATGATCTGGTGCTGACTGGGCACATCCATAAAGGAGTGAGGGCTAGAGAAGAAAGGTATGGCAAAGAAGTTCATGTTCCCAGTGGACCCACAGTTAAATGTGTGAGAGCACTTGTGCATATATTTGAGCATGCACAAATGTGTGTGTTGTATATACATTACATTACGTTAAAGGAATATTAGGTTTGCAAGGTCAGACAGTCATAAATTAGGAAATCCCAAGGTTGTCTTAAACCTTAATTTGGCCCTTGTGTGAATTGCATTAGGATAAAGTTTTTAATCATATGGTCACCTACTAGTTTTTCCAAAAGATGTCAGCCTTATCCAGCACTTAGGAGGAATTATGCTTATTAAGGCTATGTCTAGACTACATTCCTCTGTTGACAGAGGAATGTAAATGAGCCCTATCGAAAGATCAAATGAAGGATGGATTTGAATTTCCCATGCTTCATTTGCATATTTGCATCCGAGCACGTCTTCAAAAAAGTTTTTTTTTGAGGAGTTTGTGTTCTTTCGAAAAAGGTTTGTTTTTTTTTTCAAAAGAATCCCGTCTAGACTGCACTTTTACTTTCAAAAACCCTTTTTTGAAAAAGCACTTGGACACAAATATGCAAATGAAGCACGGGAAACTCAAATCTGCACTTCATTTGCACTTTTGATGAGGCTCATTTACATTCCTCTGTCAACAGAGGAATGTAGTTTAGATGTGCCCTGGATTGGGGTAATTGTTGTTCCCATTTTATAAGCAGAAGTCTTCCCAAACTTTGGATGTCCAATCAGAGACACCAAGAATCTGATATTTTTTCAGAATATTTACCTAGACCACCTTAGTTAATACCCTTTGATGGATCTCTCTTCCATGAACTTATCTAATTCTTTTTTTAACCTAGTTATAGTTTTGACCTTCACAACATCCCTTGGCAATGAGTTCCACAGGTTGACTTGTATTGTGTGAAGAAGTACAGTACATCATTTTGTTGTTTTAAGTCTGTTGCCTATTAATTTAATTTGGTGACTCCTGAGTGTTCTCATGGCTAAGACAATTGAATGCTGCCCTGGAAAACTGGAGTCTAACACAGCCTTTGTCACTGAGTTCCTTTGTGATACTGGGTAAATTATTGACACCAAACTTTTAATAAGTGATCACTAAGGGTATGGCTAGACTACATGGCTCTGTCGCCAGAGCCATGTAGATTAGTTTACTAGACATACCCAAATGAAGTGGCGATTTAAGTAATCGCTGCTTCATTTAAATGAAAATGGCTGCTGCATTGAGCTGATCAGCTGTTTGTTGGCTCAGTGCACTAGTCTGGATGCTCCACTGTCGATATCAAAGGCATTTGTCGACCGCCCCAGTAAACCTCATCCCACGAGGCATAATGGGGCGGTGGGCAAATGCCTTTGATGTCAACCGTGGAGCATCCAGACTAGCGCGCTGAGCTGACAAACAGCTGATCAGCTCAATGCAGCAGCCATTTTCATTTAAATGAAGCAGCGATTACTTAAATCGCCACTTCATTTGGGTATGTCTAGTAAACTAATCTACATGGCTCTGGCAACAGAGTCATGTAGTCTAGATATACCCTAATTGTATGTTCTCAATTTTCTGGGACCCCCAGCGGGAGAATTTTCTTTGGTGGCAATAGGCCTAAAACAAACAAAAGGATGTACTTCTTCATACAATGCATAGTCAACCTGTTCATGGAGGATAAGTCCATCAATGGGTATTAGCTAAGGTGGTCAAGGATGCAGCCCCATGCTCTGGGTGCTTCTTGTTTCTGCTTTCTAGAAGCTGGGAGTAGACGATGGGATGGACCACTTGATAATTGTCCTGTTCTGTTTGTTCCTTCTGAACCACCTGGCATTGGCCAGTGTCAGAAGATAAGATAATGGGCTTGATGGAGAAGTATAGGTGCTGGTACTAGGGGTTCTGGCTTAAAGTGGCTTCCATTATATATAGGATTTCTAGTTTATTGCAAAAGCTCTCAGCATTCCATGTAAAAATTGTTGCACCCCCCCCCCACCAGTATGACCATTTCTTATGTTCTTTGCCTTCAGTCCCCTCCCCTCATTCAATAATAATAGCTGTAGACCAACAAGACTTACTATTTTACTGTAAATTGACAGTGATTAGTTATTTAAATTTCCTCTGCACCAACTGGTACTAAAGCCAGTGGGCTCCATATTTTAAATTCCTAGCAAAGGGGCCTATGTCATGCTATCTGGACTCATCCATCATTGTGAGTGCCACACTCAGGGCAAATGATCAAAAAGCGGGACAGAGGCCCCAAACTGGCTGTATGCTCTTTACTTAGATTTCACCAATCCAGTAACACATCTGAGCCCCTAATTCACTATAGTAATCTTATCATGGAGTCAAGAGTTCCCTTGGGCATTCTAAGGTGTCTTGTAACCAAGGCAAGATGGACCTGATGACAGATGGTTGTAGCACTCCAAAGATCACAAAATATGCAGGTTGCCTCCAGTCGCAAAAGACAAGTCACTTATCCCAGGTCAATTTATATGTTAGATCTCACATCAAAGACAACACTTGTAGTGAGTCCTTCAGGAAATAAGCAAAAGATTTATTAGCTAGGAAAAAGAAATGAAGAATTATTACAAGGTTAAAGCAGGATTCCAAAAGCTGACAGAACTGTAGTAATCTGTCAGCTCAGAATGTCTTTTAGGTCTAACCCACGTTGACCCTCCTTCTGTTTTGCAGCTCTGGCCTGTAAAAGTCCAAAAAGCAAAAGAGAGATGAAAAAATTTCTTGTCAGCTGTTTTTATGTTCTTCTTCCAGAAGGCAAGCTGATGGGATGAGCCCTTCAGCACGAAGCAATTAACAAAGTGTTTGTATTGTGTTGTCCCATAGTGGCTCATTTAGTTCTGATAGACTTCTTGATGAGCAGGAAATGATCCCCCCAGATAGTTCAATGTTTCAGAACGAACAGTTTTTATAGCTATAAAGCAAAGCTTAAGTATTAGTTAATAGCATTTAATAAAGATGTTGTAAATTGCTACATGCATTAATTTCACTTACAAGCATTTCATGAAGTCTAAACACTAGACATATTATAAGTCTATTACCCATCTTAACCATACTAGCATGCAAGTGAAACAGACTAGTTTCCAGCAATCAATTTGTTAGTGCTCAGTTGAGGCCTAAACATTTGGCAAGAGTTGGCACCTGGTTGCCAGCATCACACCCCTAACTATGTATAGTGCCAGCCATGACATACAAGCCCAGAACAGACTGGTGTTCTCCTATACGGGTACGTCTAGACTACAGGCTTTTGTCGACAAAGAGTGTCTGGACTACATCCAGTTCCGTTGACAAAGCAAGCTGCTTTGTCCACATAAGAGGGTAGATGTAAAGGACAGTGAGTGTAGATGCAATAACGCCTTCTGTCTACAAAACTCTGTTGACAAAAGGTGTTATTCCTCGTAGAATGAGGTTTACCGCCGTCGACAAAACTGCCGAGTTCTGTCGACGTTATGACGACAGAATTCGGCGGTAGTGTAGACGCAGGTATAGTTTTGTCGACAAAAGTGGACTTTTGTCGACAAAACCCTGTAGTCTAGACACACCCTATGTGTGTGTGTGTGTATACTGAATTCCTCTGTTCCTCTTGTATCCGCAAGGAGGTCCTATCATTTCTCCTGTTCCTATGCAGTCATATTCCTTGACAGCTAAATGAAAAATTTGTATATTTCACTGTATTATATTAGCACCAGTCTTTCTGCATATTGACAATACAATTCCAAAAATTACATACTCAGCAGATTTTTTTTGTATCTTCCTTTTTTTGTTCATTTACTGCTTTTTCATGAATGTCTTTCTCTCTCTTTCGCCTTTTCTTTGCTCTTTCATCTTGCTCTATAATTAATTTTTCTTTTTTCCCCTTCCTCAATCTAATTTTCTCCATTTGTCATCCTCTCCTTCTGTTTTCACCACTAAAAGCTCCCTTGTGGGTACTTACTCTTTGGAGAATTTATTACAAGAAATTGGCTGGAATTTTGTGATTCTTGCAGTCTGAACAGTTTTAAGGGAGCTGCTCTTGTTGAGTTTGATCCATGAAAGGGAGTAGGGTACACAGCTTTGGGCTATTGTTTTTGTTTGTTTGTTTGTTTGTTTGTTTGTTTATTAAGGCATGATTTGGAAAAGCACGTTTTAAATTATTCCTATTCTGGGGGAGTATTTAAACATAGGCTCACGTGCTCTTACTGAGTGCAAATGTTTCCCCACATTATGATCTTGATCTCTGGAATCTTTATTACTGATGTTGATACATGAGAGAGAAAATATTCAGTTTCACTGTCAGTTGAGGTTTAGTTTACTACACTAGCAGTTAGAACAAACATCTGGTTACTTTTAACATGGGTTCACTGAGAAGCAAAGATGCTACCTCCAGAAACCTGTTTTACAGAGTCAAATTCTTGGAATAGTACTTTGAGTAAAATTGAGTTTCCAGTCTTCTATTGTTTTTGTGTCACAATGCTAATGTTTTAAAAGTATTTTAATAAATATAATTTTATCTCCATATTTAGTATATTGCTAATTTATAACTATGATCTATCAGTAACTTTTTCTAGAACCATGACTGTAATATGAATTTTAGCAGTACAGGAGCATCTCTATAAACTGGGACTCTGGTCCAGCAATATTCATGGTCCAGCAGGACCAAGGATATTCCAGGATCAGAAAATCCTGGTGTGCTTCAGGGTGGGGTCCAAGAGCCTAGAGCATGGAGTGGAGTGGAGGCAGGAGCCTGGGATGGGAGGGTCATGAGACTGGCCTGTGGCCCAGGTTGTCTGCCCAAGGGGGGCTGGGAAGAGACAGGGGATGGAAACCAGGAAGCTTGGCGTGTAGCCCAGCTGGGCTGCCAGTGAGTGGGAGCAGTAGCCAGGAAGCCCTGTGGGATGGGTTGTGGCAGGGGAGCCAGAAATGACCTCCCTTGGTCTGACAAAATCCCTCATCTGGGACCAGTCAGGTTCCGAGGGTGCTGGATTAGGGATGTCCAACCTGTAGTTCCTTATCCATTTTATTTTTTATAGGCTGAACCTTTGGTGACTGCACTGCCAGAAGAAACTCGGACTGAGGGAAAAATAAACTTTAAGATTTACAGAAAATATTTTGCTGCTGGAGCAAACTACTTTGTAATTTTTATTCTTTTACTTCTAAATATTTTGGCACAGGTAAGATATCTGATGAGTGTCACAAATAATAAGGAATGGATTTTTGTTTTGTGTTTTTCATTAACATTTTGTACTGAACAGCTATTCCGATGTTTAAGTGCAAAGCTTATGGTACATGATGCTCTTATGCATAATCATTTTAGTACTTTGCAGTATACCAGGTCAAATCTGATAATATCTGAATGTAGTTTCTATAGTTTAAATTTGTACTCCAGTAGGACATTAGCGTAATAATTGTCAGTTCAGTAATCCTACTAATGAATTTAAAGCACTTTTATGTTGAATCATTTATTTTATATTGCCATTCATACAAACTGTATCTCACTACCCTTTTCAGAGATGCGTAATATAATTACTAAATGAAATAAAAATAATGGCAGCCATAGATTGCATTTGAGGTATAGGTATGGGAGAAAATGTGTTTTCAGTACAGAATTGAAATGTGATGTATGGTTAATGAGACAGAGTTGTAGAAAAGCTGTTCCTGTTGTAAGACCTATAATGGAAAAGACTCTCCTGCCAACAGACAGGAGATAGTGGAAAGAAGCAAGAGACTGTTTACCAAGTAAAAGGAATAGGAAACAGGAAATAGAGGAAGACTCTGTGGCTACGTCTACATTGGTATGATCTTGCGCAAATACTCTTTAATGCAAGAGTTTTTGCGTTTGAGTATTTGCACAAGAGAGCGTCTACACTGGCATGTGCTTTTGCGCAAGAGATGTGCTTTTGCGCAAAAGCATCCGTGCCAGTGTAGACGCTCTCTTGCGCAAGAAAGCTCCGATGGCCATTTTAACCATCGGGCTTTCTTGCGCATGAAATTCATGTTGCCTGTCTACACTGGCCTCTTGTGCAAGTACACTTGCGCAAGAGGGCTTATTCCTGAGCGGGAGCATCATAGTTCTTGCGCAAGAAGCTCTGATTTCTTACATTAGAACGTCAGTGTTCTTGCGCAAAAACTCGTGGCCAGTGTAGACAGGCAGCAAGTTTTTGTGCAAAAGCAATTGCTTTTGCGCAAATCTTGCCAGTCTAGACGCAGCCTGTGTGTGAGGCAAGTTGCAGCAAGTTTGCGAGAACAATTTTGAACTGTTTCCTGCAAGGAATGTGGAACCAGCAAAGTTATTTTGAGGATGGCCTAGTGTGGGCTTGTTACTGTGTTGTGGTAAGAAGCTGCATTCCCTCTAATTTTTTCCATACATGTGAATGAAGTTTGTTCTGATCACCAGTGTGGAGGAGATGTGTGACACCATATTGGTGCACACAACAAAATTTTTATGGTGGAACTGGGATCAAGACATTTGGAGTGTCGGGGCTCAGGGCTGGAGCAGAGAGTTGGGGTGCAGGCATGTGAGGGCTCTGGCTGGGGTTTTGGGCTCTGGTGTGAGTTGGGGGAAGTAGGGGTTGGGGCTCATGTTACCCCAGGGCTACGACAGGGAGAGAGGACTCCCTCCAACTCTTTCTCCCTGCAACAGCACCTGGCTTGGAGGGGAGAGGCCTTGCCATGGCAGCTGTGGAACTGGGGCTGGTTTGGGGCTGGGGGAGTGGCAGGGCCGGGCCAGGCGGGTTCTCTGCGTGGTCATGTGTCTGCATGGAATTCTGTGGAAATAATTAGTGTTGGCTTCAAAGAAAATGTTGATGAAATCTCTGAATTGAGACTATGTTTGAGAAATTGGTGTTTATGAATGATCTGATCTTTCTGGGGTAGATCTAAAGTAATTTAATTGAAATAAAATATTAAAGTATTTTAATTTTGAGAATATTAAATTATTTTAATTTTGAGATAAATTAAGCTATGTTACAGAGCATATAAGATCATAGTCATCTCTGGTGGGAGAGAGAGGACAGAAACTCTCAGTTTTTCCTTCCTTTTAACATTGTATTCTTAATAATCTCCTATAAAAATAAAGTTCTGGACTGATAACATCAGGACTTGGCTCATTTGCCTGTGAGCATATGTACTGAGCAAGAAGTTTGGGATGTCTCCAGTAGGGAGTATACAGAAGAGAAAGATTAACATCCATTAGAGAGAGTTGTTATAGCTGGTTATTTTGGAATGTCTTGCTTTCCTCTTGTTTCACCTTCAGGCAGTTCTCATAGCTAGGCAACTTCTTCCCTTCTGGAGGCCGAGGGTTCTTGCTCTCCTAGCATGCTCTGCAGATCACTGCTGGTTTTGGAAAAATCAGCTCATGTACTGGCACTTTCATATGGATGGCTTAGTATTTGATTATACTAGATGTGCAGAAAGGTATACTGCTAACTGGAGAATGAGATTGGGCCCTAAATGTATATCCAGTTCAGTATGGTAAATGGGCAGGAGGAAGTGGGAAAGAAGGAAGTGGTTGGGCAGATTTTGAATGATAGACTTTACCAGGGAACATAGAAGAATGACTGAGGAAATGTAGGTCTCTAGAACTATATACTTTTTGCAAAATAATCCAAATGTTATCCTTTGTTTATTCAAGGTTGCTTTTGTGCTTCAGGATTGGTGGCTTTCATACTGGTAAGTTACTTGAGTTCTTGCAGAAAAGTGCTCTATAATTAATAGAAAATAGTAATATATATTGGGGTGGGGAAGGGAAAGCCTGTTCCAAGAAAACTTAGTGTTTGTTCATCCTTCTTTTCTAATTACCTCTTACTTTATTGTTGTGGAAAAAATAAATGTCTTGCAGTAAAGTGACACTAATAATAGTCTGTACCCATGTATGTATGGTCACAGATGATACTTAGAATTAGAGATTTTGATTAAAGTTTATAAGTAGAAAAAGGTAGATGTTGATAATATGATAAATAGATATGGCAAAATTCAGGTATGCTTTCCAGTTTCAGAGTGGCTGGCTCATATCTTGCTTAAGTGAACTTCCTGTTGTATTGATTACCTTTTGCATACCTTTCTGTAGGTCAAACCAGCAAGAAAAGCTGAATGTCACATCACATGGAAATAATGGAATAAACGAGACTAGACATCTAGATCTTGGCCTGTATTTAGGAATTTATGCAGGTAAGATATTTTAATAATTTGCTCCATTATAATAGAGGGTTTTGAAAGGAGCACTTTAAGCAGCAGTGTCGGAAAATAGGATTTCTAACAGTGATTCAGTAGTGTCTGAGCAGATTAGCAGACTGAGCCTTCTTTCCTGACTAAATTAATTGGAATAATTAAAAAAGAATGAACTCTAGTAGAAGCAGTAGGTTGAATACAGATTCTTAATTTGGATTTTGGAAGGTAAACCAGGAATTGAGTATTCAAAAAGGCAGTCACTGTAAACTTGTAGCTATTGTCTATACTAATAGGTTGTTTCAGCTTAATCATCAGTCATTATATGGGTTGGCAAGAGAGATTAGAAATTGATCCCCATACTGCAACTTTCTGTTTCAGTTTTTGTTTATATGAAATGTTGTATTTTTAAAAACGTCATCATGGGTATGCTCATTTGAAAGTTTCATAGCCAACCTCTCCCCCCGAAAAAACACAAAAAAACCAACAACAAAAACAAACAACCCCCCCAAAAAACCACACAACAATAAAAAAAGCCTCTTTAATAGGTACACATTGCCAGATTTGTAAAGATAGGTAACTATCTAAAGATGCAGATAGAGCACCTAGTGGGATTTTTAAAAAAGTGTCTAGGTGCTTAACTCCCATGAATGGGAGTTGAATGCTTACATGGTTTTAAAATCCAACTAAGTGCTTATTTGCACCTATAGGCATCTAAAATGCCTTTGAAAATCTGGCCAAAAGTGCTTCATTTTTATGCTCATTTTTGATTAGTCAGAAAACAAAATGAGCCTGAAAAAAATCCAGTGTATAGGAAGGAAACCAAATCTCATAGTTCCCACTATTTTCAGTTTGTTTAATGTGGTTGTTCAACTTTTTGTGACCCACAATAATTTCATGATGGGTAGCACTCATTTATGATGTGGTGGTCCAAAGGGACTTCAGGGAAACACACACACTACAAGTGTTCTGATACAGGTGTATTGCTTTCATAGATCCTCCATATTTAGTAGGCTTTTCGCAGAGGATACAGAAAAGACAAATTTGTGCCCTGAAAATCTTATAATTTAAGAGCATTATTTCATATAGAGTACATCTAGACTACACCTCTCTGTCGACAGAGAGATGTAGATTAGGTGTGTCAAAATTGCTAATTAAACGGGGATTTAAATATCCCACGCTTCATTAGCATAAACATGGCCGCTGCTTTTTTTTTCCGAAATGGAGCTTTTTTGAAAAAAGCGGCAGTCTAGATGCGGATCTTTCGAAAAAGGGTTTATTTTTCAAAAGGTCCACGTCTAGACTGCTGCTTTTTTCGAAAAAGCTCCATTTTGAAAAAAAGTGGTGGCTATGTTTATGCTAATGAAGTGCAGGATATTTAAATCCCCGCTTCATTAGCAATTTTGACGTGCCTAATCTACATCTGTCTGTCGACATAGAAGTGTAGTCTAGACACAGCCTTAGAGTTTATTTTATGAGCAGCTCCATGGGGCTATACAATATGAATAAGGGTGTCAGAATCTGGCATTTTATGATTGTATGGACTAAGTCGTTGATCAATGAATATCATAAATGACACCGATGGTGAGTGGCTAAGCCAGTCCTTGATTGGCAAATCCAATTACAGATGTCACATAAAAATCCGCCATCTGTTGGTGGTGTGCACTTTTGTAGGATTTTATGCTTTTTTTTTTAATGCCTGGATACATTGACTCTTGAAGTGTTCGAGAGCCTTTACAATAGTTTGCTGCCAGAACAATCTGTTCTGAGCTATGATTTTCAGGTCACCGGGAGATATGCCGCATGACCTCACATTGGTCTTTAAGATATCTTTTTAATGCTTATACTGACCACCAATAGAGCGCTTTCTGTGAAGAAGCTGGTGTTAGAAGACCATCTTTGGTATCAACGAATCATCCATCCTCATAATATGACCAATCCAGCGAAACCGTTTGTTCACGAGCATTGCTTCCATGCCCATGACTCCACACAGTTTCAGGACCTCCTTGTTAGGAATTATGACCCACCATTTCACATGAGCAGTCTTCATGAGGCAGTGCATATAGAACTGATTGAGTTTCAAAACATGGTGGTGGTATGTGGTCCATGGCTCTGAGCCATGCAGCAGGACATTCAGGACAACTGCCTGATAAACTGTAACCTTTGTATGAAAGTTTCAGGGGGTAGCCAAGTTAGTCTGTGCAGGATAAACTTAAAAAACAACAAATGGTCTGGTAGCACTTTATAGACTAACAGAACATGTAGATGGTATCATGAGCTTCTGTGGGCACAGCCCACTTCTTTATACAAAGGTCATTGCGTAAGTATTTGGTCAGTCTTTTGAAGGCAGTGTTGGCTTTGGCTAATTGAGCAGATACATCATCTTTAGTGTTTCTGCTGAAGGACAGTGAGCTTCCAAGGTAGTGAAACTTATCAACAACCTTAAGGACAGTATCAGCAGCAGTGATCGCTGGACTGCTGGGTCTTTCCAAATAGACTGAGACTTTTTCTTCTTGAGGCTCACAGAGAGTCCAATGCAGAAGTAACAAAACGATCAAAAATCTCCTGTGCATCCTTGACTGAAGGAGCCAACAAAGCACTGTCGCCAGCAGTCAGGAAGTCACAGGTAGTTGTAGTGAACACTTTGGTATGACCCAAAAGTCTCTGAAAATGCTACCGTCAGTGAGGACCTGAATAGGTATGCCCAATGCCCAATCCTTGAAAGCCTCTAACAGCAACATCGAAAAGTAGATGATGTACAAGAGAGGAGCAAGGATACATTCTTGCTTTTTACCAATTCATACTTTAAAAAGTGGTGATGTCTCTCCATTGTTTAGGACGTGACCCAGCATACCATCATGAAAGGACTGCACTAGATTGATAAATTTTACAGGATAGCTAATTCACCATATACTTTCCAAAGTTCAATTCTGTTGACAGTGTCAAATACCTTGGTCAAGCCGATGAAAATCATGTTAGAATCCTGATGTTGCTCTCTACATTTTTCTTGGATCTGTTAATATCATGTTGGCGGTCCCTTGTCAGGCACAATTGTACAATCAAATCATGTATATGACTGTACAATTAAAAAATAAAATAATTGTATTGATTTAAGGTAAGATTTCTGTAAGGTAAAAAAAAGATAAATTTGATGCTGAAATTTTAAAATATCTCAAGGATAGAATTGTTTGGTTTTCGTCTTTAATTGAAAGTAGTAGGTTGGTACAATGTTCATTTTACAGAAGCCATATTTAAATCTCAACTCAAAAAAATCTTAAAAACCAATCGCAAAAGGATGTATCTTTGGGTAAGTCTGCATTACAGGCTAAAGTTGACCCAAGTTACACAACTCCAGCTATGTTAATAATGTAGCTGGAGTTGACATGCCTTAGGTCAGCTAACTGCAGTGTCTACTTCACATTGGGTCTACAGGAGAAACTCTCCCATTGATGTACCTAAAGCATCTCATTCCGATGGAGTGCCAGAGTCAGCGGAAGCATGTTCAGCAGTTGATTTAGCGGATCTACACTAGATCCGCTAAATCGACCCCCAATGAATTGATTGTTGCAGCATTGATTCATCCAGTAGTGGAGACATATTTTAATAGTCTAATGTGATCTATACCTATTGTTACCATCTCTGAATATTTGGCCAAAGACTTTGTTTTGTTTCAGTTCTTGGGTGATGGGGAGGGGGAATGATATTTCCTTTTGAATGTATGTATAAAGTAGAGATTCAGAAAAATAAAAGCTGTTTTAGTGATGTAGAACACTAAGACAGCAGAAGCTCTGGCAAATAGCATGGTACAATCAGTAGACCTGAGTATAAAAAGTGATTGACTCACCATTTCCCAGTATTACCATACTGTGAGACTGAAATATCACCAATTCCCATATCCTTAGAATAGGAAATACCGGTAACTTGTCACTGTATGGTTCGTGTCTGTTGTCAAATATCAACTTTCCAATAATGACCAACTTATGCATAATATTGTATACTGAATTATATGACAGAGTGGACATACAAAGACTATTACATAAACTATCTGATAGTTAATAAAATTTCCTGTGGTTGAATAAATAATGCCTCTTTTTGAACGGTTAAAAAAAAAGAAACTGTTTAAATTGACTATTTTAGGATAAATTATGTATTAAAAAGTTTAGAGTAATGCTTCATACTGAAAAGAGCATTTATCCAGAGACTTAAGCTTTAAAATTATGATTTGCTTCATGTGAAGTGTCTGAACAAAATGGATGCAATTTTAAACAGAATGCTCTTCTACTGTATCATCAATGAGGTAGATCTGTGTACATGCTCTGATCATATTTATTTGTTTAATTTTAGGCTTGACTGTGGCTACAGTACTGTTTGGCATATTGAGAAGTCTGTTGGTATTCACAGTACTTGTAAATGCTGGTCAAACTCTGCACAACAAAATGTTTCAGTCACTTTTGAACGCTCCCATGTTGTTCTTTGACAGAAACCCTATAGGTAAGGTGAACATTTTAAAACAAAAATTACACACAATACTTCGTTAAGTGTGATTAGAAATATGAAATGTATGATAATAGAAATTAGGTCTTCTGATACACATTTTGTGCTTTTAAAAACTTTCATAGGTGGCTTCCCTTCAGATCGTATAATTCTTTTACTTTTTACTACTACATCATATCATAGTTAGAAAGTTAGCTACATTTTATTTAAAATAAGATGGCATATTAGTAACTGGCCTTATTCTGGATATTTATCTAATTCTGCATTTGCCCATGCAGACAGAAACTATTAAGTGAGTATTGTATACTGAACTACCACAGTTGCATTATTAATTACTTGATTTATGCACATGATTTTAAGGTTTTTCTGGGTGTGACAAGTATACATGCATTTTTGTGATGGCATCCATTGAGTTTTTCATTGAAAAATTTATCCTAAATGTTGTTTGTAATGGAAAAGATGTGTAGATAGATTTTTTTTTTAAATTAGGAAATGATATAGAGGTGCAAAAAAGTGTAGGAACAATAGTTGGGAGGATGTCTGTAAAACACAGCTCAGTCATACACCCAGAATGAGAAAACAAAATTGAGCAATATAAAAGGTATAATATGGGTCAGTATCCTTAAATGGAATAGAGAAATTGGGTGCAAAATACACCTGATAAATTTGTGTGAAATGTAATTATGAAATTTGAGAGGGAGAGAAGTGATTAAGGCAGTGAAAGGAAGTGGAAGTGATGCAGAGTGAGGAGTAGTGAGTAAAGAAAATAGCAAGAGAAGAAGCACTGGTCTCTGAGAAATGGAAGAATGATGTGATGTGTTCCTAGAGACTTTTCGGTTACAAAACATCTTCCAGGAATTGTGAGAACAAGTCTATGTTGCTTTTCATTGAGAGAATTATTATATTTCCTTTGAATAAAAGTTCATGTGAATTAAAAAATAGTGAATATGAGATTGAGTGCAGCATATAATTATGATATCATTTTTTAACATAACTGTATTCGTGTCTAAATGCATTTTATTTTTGTGGGCTAATAAGGTTATGTGGCAATTTAAGTTGGAGGGCGGTAAGGAAAACTGTGTGCTCAGATAGAGGGCTGATGAGTTGAGAGCCAGTGTTCAGTGGAGCAGAATATATCTGTTTTTGTGATGCCTGTTGGAGCTGGTCATGAGGAATGGCAGGACCAACCAAGGGGGATATCACCAGATACGCAGCATTTCCCCCTTTTGAAGTGTTTAACAAGGTACAGTGACCCCATCTGTGGGGAGATGTAATCATCTTGTAGTAAGCTCAATGAACGTAATTTATTATAACAATCTCTGGGTCATATCTGTGGGGTGGAATTAAATAGCTCCATATGGTGTTACCAGTCTGCTTTGTAATTTATTTTGAAACCTATAAATAAAAAGTGTGATGTAAAAGATCATCATTTGTTTTTTAACAACCTCTAGGCACAGAACAAACCCACCAGTATTACCCAGTTCTCTCTATGATTTTTACATGTATGCTTTTCCATTCGCAATAGTTATTCTGTGAGTTAGGAATAATTTCTGTGTACACATGTTCCTTCTCCTACATCATTTACTAATGGTAGCATATAAAGATATTGGTAGATAGGTATTTTTGCACATCCCATTTCTCTCATGAAGAAATGGAACTCTGGTTGTTCTTATTCAAGTTGGAGCAGTCAGTAGTTTTAAGTGCTGAGCACCATATGCGCATCATCTTCCAATCATCTGGAAAATCTTGTACTGTGCGCATCTTATTTTAGACTTTCACCCTGAGGATTCCATTTTGCTCCTCAGTTCCTGTCCAGGTAACTTTAGAACTGGAGCAACATTTGCCTGGACCAGAGATGTCTCCATTTATTAAAAGGAGTGCATTATGATGATGAGGATGATCATTATTATACACTGTTATTTTGCAAGTATTGTGTTGCTCTTGTAATATTATATTTACACCGATATAAGCAATAGTAAGGATTGCAGTAACCCAGAAGTTAAGAAATTCATTGTTAATGTCTCTACTACCATCTTTTAGCAATCTCTTTATTTCTCTTTAGCAGAGTACAATCATTCTTTATATGATCACTGAAAATATTGGCTGTAGTATTTAGCACGGCTGCTAAGATTTAAAAAATTGTGGAGTAAATTAGACTTCTAAATCCAGTCAGACAACTAGTAAACAGTTTGACTGTCCTATTGGGGAAAGAGCCTAGTAAGCAGGGTCAGGGAAGTGGCACTGGAAAATCGAAAAAGGTGATGAATCACGACATATCATGACATATCTATCAGCTCCAGTGGTTTGTGTCAGGTTCATGGAGTGTGGTTCTAAGGGGCTGTTTAATTGTGGTGTAGATGTTTGGGTTTAGGGTAGAGCCCAAAGAGTCCCAGCATCTAGGCAGGTTTTTAATATCAGTGTAGATGCACCCTTAGGTGCCTAAGTCTTATTGCAAATTGCACAGAAGCACCTCAATGGCTTAACCTTTTCTGAAAATGTTACTCTACGCGCAGAAGTGGTGATTGGAAATTAGGGCACTGAAATTCAGTTTTACTTTCAGATCTCAACCGATCCCCTGTTATGGTGTCATCATAATGTTTGATTTATATGTGATGCCACATTGTTGGATTTCAGACATTATTTTGTATTATTTATCTATAATGGATAATAAAACTTGCTTGCATTCTTTTAAAGGGATATTCAACTTGGCCTTTTCTCTTCAAACTTTCCCCTGCTCTTCCATCCAGATACCAGTATGGGAGTCACATGCTTGCCAGGTTAGCTATTCAGAAGAAACTGTGGACATTTTTCACTTCATAGTGAATGCTCCATATGTTCCACTTCATCTGTTCTCTTAACTGAATAAACGGCTTCCTCTCTTTTGCAAGTCTAGCACAAGAGGGCAGCATTATCTGTTTTATCCTGGTCTAGTATTACAATGATTTATTAGAAAAATAACAAAGATTAATCTGGTCTATATTTAGAAGCAATCTTTGAGTAATGGACTTTCAATTTTTCAATCTATATATTGGGAAATATGATTTTGGGGTATTATCTTGATTACACAGAAGTATAATATTTTCCTTTAATTCTTCTCACTGTAAATTCTCTGCCTGCCTTTGAAGAGATTTGAATTCACAGACTGTATAGTCTTGTCACTAGTGACCAAAGGAGTCAGGTAACTTACGGTTTTTACTTATTTGGTTCACATAAGGAGAACTCTAGGCACCCTTCTGTTAGATTCTTTTCTTTTTTTCTTCACTCATCTGTAAAGAAATATTTGTCTTCAAATTTGACAGAACTCTGGGTTAGTCACCAAGACCACACATGGAAAGATTGTTTCATTGAAAGTTCCTACTATGAAAATATAGTGTCATAACTTTTAAACAATTGTGTTTATTGATATGTGTCTTGGATCTTGGGGGCAGAGCTCCCTCTTCTTCTTTAGAGAAGGAACCTTAGTGCTTGCAATAATTTTAGTTTTTGTGAATGGTGGTCTGCATAATTTGTTTAAATTTAGAAAACTGAAGCCTGCTGCTGCCATATTAAGTGCTATAGGAATGAATAAAATAAATGATACATATACATAAATTGGTTCAGATAAAATAGAAACCTTTTTTTCCTTCAAGTATGCACAATTTTCCAAATTTTCTAAACAAAACAAACAAACAGAAGCTTAGTGGTTTAGTATTCAGGGTTTCTGGATGTGACTAGAATAAGAGGGGCAGCAGTAATCTGGACTGCAGCCCTTACAGCATTTCTGGCCTCTCATAAGCAGAAAGTCCTGAAAGTCTTATAAGCAATATCCTTTTTTGGTGAAATTTCCAACTAATTAGTGCCAGAGGGCTGGATAAGCTGTGAATAAGCATTCAGTCTTTTGGGTTCTTTCATGCCAAACTTTTTGAGATTCAGGCATCATTGTTATAGAAAAAAATAGTCTGTTACCATTACAGCCAAAAATGATATACTAAGCTGAAAGCTACTAGCCGTGGAGTGAGCAGGCAATGCAAATCCCAACTATAAATGTGTGAATTAAAAAAATACAAGAGAAAAGTGTTTTTATAATGCAGTTTATTTTTTTCTGTGGAATAAATTATTTAATTGTGGTGTTCACAAATTAACTGATGTAACTCCTATAATTTAGCAGAGAAAGTTCCTTTGTCTAAAAGGATGAAAAGCATGTTCATCAAAACACACGTGCTTGCCTGTTTTGTTTGAAAGTTTAAAGTAGCTTCAAATGGGTGATGGTGTTAAAGCATTGAAATGTACAAGCATGATATTTCAGCACTCTGAAAATTACAAACTAATAATGGATGGCAGTTGGATGGCAAGACCGCTTAAGTTAGTATACTTTAATCTATGCTTGTTCACACAAGTGATTTTGCTAAATAAGTGGCATGTTTAAACAAGAAATACTGGTCTTAAATTCTGTGATTTATTGTAGGTGACGTTTTGACATATGGGACAGGCAGTTTACAAAGCAAAGCTTCATGTTAAAATATTTCACTAATGTCGTCATTCGTTGCTAATAAAATATTCAGTATTTATATGCCTATATAAGTGAAACTACTCAATTGGTTTCTTTTTATAACAAGATATATACTGAGTTTTTTAAATAGATTTTGGATGTTTATTTGTGATCAAGATAAACTTCAAGGAACTATGAATAAGTATAATAGCTACTTGACAGCTCTCTTAAGAAGACTATTTTTCACATTAGCTCAGATACCACAAGCTTTGTTTTTTTTATTTTTGTGCCAATTTTTATAACATGGGTTTGTTAGTTTATGTTCAAAGGAAGGAGTTAGTAACTGTAAGACAACCTTTATTGTCAAATAAAAACACACACTCCTTTTTCCTGGTAGTAACCACAAATGTGAATGATTATAAAAATGACAACACAATAGATTCCATGTATCATAAAGATTCTGAGCAACCCCAGAACACTCTAAATATTATTTTTGTGTATTTGAATGGAATTGTTTGTAGTTTAATGT